CACCAGACGTTGGGTTTCATCCCTGGTGATGCTCTGCCAGGCCTCTACTGCAACAGTCTTCAGTTCCTGCTTGTTCCTGGGGCATTTTCCCTTCAGTTTTGTCTTCAGCAAGTGAAAAGCATGCTCAATCAGATTTAGGTCAGGTGATTGACTTGGCCATTGCAAAACAGTCCACTTCTTTCCCTTCAAAATCTCTTTGGTTGCTTTTGCAGTATGCTTTGGGTCATTGTCCATCTGCACTGTGAAGTGCCGTCCAGTGAGTTCTGAGGCATTTGGCTGAATATGAGCAGATAAAATTGCCCGAAACACTTCAGAATTCATCGTGCTGCTTTTGTCAGCAGTCACATCATCAATAAATACAAGAGGACCAATTCCACTGGCAGCCATACATACCCACGCCATGACACTTCCAGCACCATGCTTCACTGATGAGGTGGAATGCTTAGGATCATGAGCAGTTCCTTTCCATCTCCATACTCTTCTCTTCCTATTACTCATCTGTCCATAGGGTGTTGTTCCAGAACTGTGAAGGCTTTTTTAGATGTTGTTTGGCAAACTCTAATCTGGCCTTCCGGTTTTTGGGGCTCACCAATGGTTTACATCTTGTAGTGAACCCTCTGTATTGGTGGAGTCTTCTCTTGATTGTTGACTTTGACACAGATACACCTACCTCCTGGAGAGTGTTCTTGATCTGGCCAACTGTTGTGAAGGGTGTTTTCTTCACCAGGGAAAGGATTCTTCGGTCATCCACCACAGTTGTTTTCTGTGGTCTTCCGGGTCTTTTGGTGTTGCTGAGCTCACCGGTGCGTTCCTTCTTTCTGAGAATGTTCCAAACTGTTGTTTTGGCCACACCTAATGTTTTTGCTATCTCTGATAGATTTATTTTGTTTTTTTTTTTCCAACCTAATGATGGCTTGCTTCACTGATAGTGACAGCTCTTTGGGTCTCATCTTGACAGCTGACAGCAACAGATTCCAAATGCAAATAGTACACTTGAAATGAACTCTGGACCTTTTATCTGCTCATTGTAATTGGGATAATGAGGGAATAACACGCACCTGGCCATGAAACAGCTGAGAAGCCAAATGTCCCATTACTTTTGGTCCCTTAACAAGTGGGAGGCACATATGCAAGCTGTTGTAATTCCTACACCGTTCACCTGATTTGGATGTAAATACCCTCAAATAAAAGCTGACAGTCTGCAGTTAAAGCACATCTTGTTTGTTTCATTTGATATCCATTGTGGTGGTGTATAGAGCCAAAAATGTTAGCATTGTGTCAGTGTCCCAATATTTATGGACCTGACATATATATATATATATATATATATATATATATATATATATATATATATATATATATATATATATATACATACATACATATATATATATACATACATATATATATATACATATATATATATATATGTATGTATATATATATACATATATATATATATGTATATATATATATATGTATATATATATACATATATATATATACATATATATATATATATATATACATATATGTATACATATATATATATATATATATATATATATATATATATACATATATGTATACATATTATACATGCCTAAACAGCATAAAGTGAGAATAATAATTGTCAAACATTGTGTTTTAGCTCTGCTGGACAGCTGGAGTGTGCGTTAATGAACAACAGGTGTTACCTTCTGGAGTAATCACAGAAGTAGGAGGAGGGGATTAAGGTGCAATACATTTTTTCTGCCTCTAGATGGTGCCCTTTGAGAAAAAAACTCTGGATTCCTGTGTTCAAAGCTCACCAGGAACATGGCTAATGTTTATGTGTAATTCACTCGCCCTTAAGCTGATCCCGGTAATGACATGTTGATGATTTTAAGGCTATCGTTGAATCGTGATCTTCAGTTATTACGACTCAAGAAGATTTTAATTTACTAACTGATCTAAATTAGCTCTAACATTAACCTTTTGAATCAAGTTAGACCATTTAAAAAGTTTCATAGCAAATTTCATCGGGCTTTAGAGCTTCCTCATGAAACTGGCCTATTGAGGCCTCCACAACACAGAGGAACCCATCTTCACCAGTCATAAAGTGATCGGTGTCTCAACGGTGTACAAACCTTCAGTTGAAGCCAGTTTAAATGACACCTCTTGTTGGGTGCGTCAGTAATCCCCCAGTTGTGTGTTTGTCACCAGGTCAGGCAATGGATGAATAATGTATAGGGAGGCATCTGACTGAGGGGCTCGGTAAAGGTGGCGCTCCTTGAATAATGGCAAACAAGTGCTCTGGCTGACATTTCAGAGGAGATGTGGAGAGAAGCAGGGAGGTGATGACATGGGGAGAGACAGGGAGTCCGATTACTCATTCAAGTACGAGCTCGGTTTGTTTACAGTCTAACAAATTGTGCGAAAATTCCATTGCATGGGAATGGTAAACACCCCTAAACCATCGGTCTGAAGTTATTACAAGTTTAGCCTTTCAGAGACACGGTGAACATCTGGAGAGTCTTTGGTTAAGTGTGTGTTTTACTAAAATAACTCAAATTTGTTTCTGACTGATCAGATTCTAGGTAAACGTAAACTTGTCTATCAAAGAGAATAACTCAAAGTTGATTTCCAGTTTGTGACATATGGTACGGTTTCAAGTCTGAAACATCCTAGGATTATTTATTCTTCTTAGATATAGAAATAACAAAATAGTTTTAGCATTAGCACGTTAGCTGTGTTAGCTCGTCCTTCGGCAAGTTAATCAACATCTGTTGACTTCAGTCAACAAATTTAGCTTTAAATCTGTCTGAAGCAACACATTTCATACATTCTGACTTAACTGACGACTGCTTTGTGAACAAGATCAGCTCTCTGACCACAAATCCCTTTTCAGACTCAAAATGTGATCGATTGCATGCTAGTGATTAGTTAGATTACAGCTGTCGGGAATTTAAACAATAGACAGGAAACACAAACAGGCGAAAAAAACTGAAAATTAAGATTTATGGCTGTTTAAAATTTGATCCTATTCATCCTGAAGCTTTTAGTTGTGTCTGTCCACGAATCCCAGAAGAAGAAGCTGATCGTTATCGCTGTAGGAGCGTAACTTCCAGCCTGCAACTTACACTCGATCTGATTCACGCTGCTGCGTTTTGCCCTTGGGCGATGTCTGCGGCCTTGCGCTGGGAGAGATAACCCGATCTCCGCTCCTCTCGCTCAGAGTCCAATTTAGCAGCTCAGAACTATGAATAAATCTAACACTACATAATTGAATTCATCAGACAGAGCAGAATCTCAAGGTTAGGCTCAAATTCAAAATCCATCTTCTAGCCTGAACAATGATAACATATTATCATCAATCTAAAGAAAGTGAAAAAAAAAACCTAAATTACTTACTTTTCGGTACTTATCACTCATATTCAAGTATAAATACTCAAAATTACAAGCTTTGTGGAGGTAATTGATCATCTTTCTTCTCCAACCAGACTTCTAATATCCATTAATTGTTTAGATGTGTTCCTTAGTAATTATTCAGCATAGTTTCTTAATTATTCCAGCGGATGTGTTTTGTTGTGTGCATAATTCATCAAGGGGGGGTGTAGTGAGAGAGTGAGAGCTGGGAGAGTCCACTAATAGGAGAGAAAAGGTTTTGAATACCAATACGTGTGTGTGTGTGTGTGTGTGTGTGCGCGCGCGCACGCACGCACACTTTTCTGCCCTCACTCACATCCCGTCTGGATCGAAACCCTGCCCTTCCTGTCCTAAAATAAACCCACCTTGGGATGTGGAGGACCTTGCACAGAGTGCTGATTGTTACACCTTTTGATTTTTTCCTCCATCTGTGTGCAAACTGGCTCTTTAAAAAACACGTAGAAACCGGTTTGAGAAGTGTTCTTAGACATTATTTCATCGTGTTTTAAGCGGCCAGTGCTGTCAATATTTGCATTATCAGCATGATGTTGTGATTGAGGTATGCACATCGTCTCACCTAAACAATGAAACATTCAAAGCATGAATGATGATTTATTAAAAATGGACAAAACCCCTGCAAGACATGATTATTTTACCTATGTTGTAAACTATCCGTCCAGATCCTAAAGCAGCAAAGCAGGCCAGATCATCACACTACCACCACCATGTTTCACTGTTGGTGAGATGTTGTTGTTTTTTTCTTCTTTATTTTTACTGTGTACATTGTGGGACACACACCCCAGCCAGCATACATAGGTGGGCTCCATATGCAGAATAAATATGGGTAAACGGTATGGGTCAAGCCGGTTTTGTCCTGGATTTTCATGGTGGCCCCACAGGGGTACACCCACATAGATTTTAATGGACCCATGTATTAGTCAAACCATCTGGGTCCCCGTGAAAACCAATGTAAGACTATTGGGACTCATACTGTTTGCCCAGATATATTCCATATTGGGTCCACCTATGTGTGCTAGCTTGGAAAAAGTGCCCCTGAAGTTCTTTTTGGAACAATTAGAAGCCCCCACCCATTTCTTTCCCACTGAATCATGACTTCTAACTTTAGCCAAGTGAGGCCTACAGGGCTTTAGATATCACTCTGAGTTCACTTCCTCTGAATTCCAGAGCATGATGTGTCACTTTTTGAGATCTTTTAGCATCTTCATGTCGTCAGACAGGTTGTATTGACATGTTTATTTTATATATTTTTTTTATTTCTTTAAATCTGGCAGTAATCAGACCTGGTGGCTGGTGAAAATGCGTTTCAGAGAGGGTGCAGGAGAAACGGTGAATTTTGTGGCTGTGTTGTGGCTGTCCAGGTGCTTACATACTTTGGCCACTAGATGTCCCTAAAACACGAGTATAGAGCTGCTGTTTAGGAGCCCTTTTGAAACTTGCAGTAAGCTGAAAGACTAAAAGCTGTTTCAGACCATTTTCACTCTCAGTCATGAATGCATATTTGAGCTTTTTTAAGTCCTGATTTTATTGTTTATTATTTCTAACATAATTCCTGTTTAATCTCTCCCTTCCAGCTCATAGTGGAGAAGACCACAGACTTCCCCTCTGCTGAGTTCTCTCTAGTGGAGGATGTGGCTCTGCACTTCACCTGTTTGATGGACAGGCTGAACGAGCAGCGTCTCTTCCAGCCTGACCTGTGCGACGTTGACATCGTCCTGGTGCATCAGCACAGCACCTTCCCAGCCCATAAAGGAGTGCTGGCAGCTTATAGCCCCTTCTTCCACTCTCTTTTTGCTCAGAGCAAACAGCTACGGCGAGTGGACTTGTCACTGGACGCCCTAACATCTCAGGGCTTACAGCAGATCCTCAACTTCATCTACACCTCCAAGCTGCTGGTGAGCAGCAGCACAGTTCGTGATGTGCTTAATGCCGCCACCCTGCTTCAGATGAGCGACATTGCGGCTTCCTGCCGCGATCTCATCAGCAGCCACTCCTTGAGAACCACCTGCAGAGACATGGCCAATCAGGAGGACCCAGCTGTCGTGGCAATGCCTCCCAGCCAGCTCTACCGGGAAATCAAACAGGAGTCAGACCTCGGCAGGGTGTACACGAGAGAAGGCAGCAGCCCGTTCTCTGTAGGGGTGAAGGAGCTGAAGGAGGAGGGTGCAGTGGGCGTGGCCAGCATGGGCGTGGCTGCTTCATGTAAAGTGGAGGCCAATGGAGAGAAGTCAAAAACAGCCTCCTTCAACAGAAACCAGATCATCGTAGAGGTCAACCTCAACAATCAGACCTTGAACGTCTCAAAGGGATCCGAGGGATCTGCCACCGTCACGGAGTCCATGTTTGGTCGTCGCCATGATGAGCAGGACTCTGAGGGCGATGAGGACAATGATGCTGAAAATATCGGAGTTGGAGAAGAGGATGTAGAAGTTTTAAAGAGGACGGACTTATTGGGGCAAAGCAGTGAAGAGGAAGATGAGGAGGAGGAGGAGGAAGAGGAGAACACTCTTAACATTCCAGGATTAGAGCAGCCTGTTGTTATGGATCGACCTCGCCGGGGCACCAGAGCCCTGACGTTGGCGGGAACCGCCGCCTCCATGCGCCAGACGCTCGCAGAGGCCACGCTGGCCAACCAGCGGCAGGCTGGGAAGGGAACGCTGGACATGGAGGGCCTGGGTCAAAAGGTCAGACTGGAGGAGAAACAGCACTTCCCGTGTAAGAGGTGCCCTCGCATCTTCAACAACCGCTGGTACCTGGAGAAGCACATGAATGTGACTCACAACCGCATGCAGATCTGCAGCAACTGTGGGAAACGCTTCCTTCTGGAGAGCGAGCTGCTGCTGCACCAGCAGACGGACTGTGAGAGGAGCATTCAGGTAGGATTCTGCTGGAAATCACACCTTTTCAAAGAAACGATTAAAGCCATTTAAAGTCACTCAACATTCTATAATTACTAAACCGGTTTAATACGTCCCACCCCCTCTGCACTAAGCTGCTGGACTCCTACTGTGGGTTTGAAGATTATTCCCTGCTTTAATCTGCTAATTGCCTATTTTTATTTTTTTGCACCACAGCGGATGTTTAAGCACACACCTCCATTATGTTCAGGATGCTAATCTCTCCCCTCACTTTTGTGTGTTTCGCTAAGTGTGTGGCATGCGGCAAGGCCTTCAAGAAGCTGTGGTCGTTGCACGAGCACAACAAGATCATCCACGGCTACGCGGAGAAGAAGTTCTCATGCGAGATTTGCGAGAAGAAGTTTTACACCATGGCTCATGTCAGGAAGCACATGGTCGGTGAGTGGAAGTGCAGTTTTCCGTCCTCCGGGCCGGACTAGTTGTACAGGATTTGTTTGACCAGGAAACAAGAAGAGATGTTATTTTTTTCTTTTGTTTGAATAAACAAATATTCAAAGAATATTGTCAAGAGTATAATTTTTCTCAAAAGATTAGACATTTACTGCAGCAATGGGATATTAGGAGAATGTGTTCTTGTTGAGAGTTTATTAGAAGCCTGACCTGGGATCAGATTATGATCATACCTGAGCTTGTAAGGTTACATCTGAATGAATGACAGTAGTTCTGCAACAATGTTCTTTGGAAAGATGAGACCAAAGTAAAGATGTTTACTCATAATGCACTGCACCATGTTTATAAAGTTACATTTCAGAAGAAACAGCTCTTATAGCAATCAGCATGGCGGAGTAGGAATGATGGTTTGTGATAGTTTTTATCGAATATATCATAACATGGAATCTGCTCTGTTATTTTTTTACTTCTCAGGTTAAATTTGACAGAATTATTAATCTGATAAAGATTTAATTGTTATTATTAGCATACTACAGAAGAGGATTAGTGCCTATGAAAAAAAAGTATACTGATTTTTTAATCTCTGATTTGTGAGATTAAAGTCCGAATTATCTGGAATGAATAAAAATGCTTAGATTAAAATCAGAATTAGTTTTTTTTCCTGTTTTTATTCTTTTTTTATTTTTTAAAAGCCCTATTACACTTACAGTTGTTCCAATATGTAAAACTTTTTTTTTCAGGACTGTAGAATAAATATTTTGTTTTAATTTAATTTTATATATTTTTCTTGTAGAGGAAGAAATTCCAGAGTCATAAGGAATGTAGAACTTAATTGCCTTTTAATCAGATTTAGTTCTCTAAAAAAATGATGTTTAAAAATGGCATCAAATCCAGAGAATATACAGTACCAGTTAAAATCCTCCCATTGAAAATGAATATATATTTGTGTGTATGTGTGTGTGTGTGTGTGTGTGTGTGTGTGTGTGTGTGTGTGTGTGTGTGTGCGCGCGCGCAGCCCACACTAAGGACATGCCGTTCACCTGTGAGACGTGTGGGAAGTCGTTCAAGCGCAGCATGTCCCTGAAGGTTCACTCCCTCCAGCACTCGGGAGAGAAACCCTTCAAGTGTGAGGTCTGGGCTCTGTCTAAATGCTGCAGCTTTCACTTTTAATTCCCCATCACATGATCGGTTTTGTCCTCCTCTTTTAAAAGTCTGCCGTGTCCCGTTTCAGAACTGCAGCGAGCGTTTCCAGTATAAATACCAGCTGCGTTCCCACATGAGCATCCACATCGGACACAAGCAGTTTATGTGCCAGTGGTGCGGGAAGGACTTCAATATGAAGCAATACTTTGATGAGCACATGAAGACACACACTGGTGAGTCATATCTGGCACAGGTTTTGTAGTTTTTCAAAAACTGGTTGTTGTTGAACGGCCTGGTTTCACCTGATCTGTCCAGTCCAACACATTAGCATAGATTTTATGCACCGATCAGAACCTCCCTGCACCTGATTGCTCATTTTCAGGCAACCAAACTGGACTTGTCAGCTTGATTTATGTAGGCTGACAAAGCTCAATAATAAATCATTGTTTACTTGTTATTTTTTAAATACAATCAGTCAATCTGAGTTTCACAGGCAGGCAAAACCTGAAATCTACTTAGATTGCCTAGATTTCCTGCATTAGTCTTCGATTGGAAATAGAGAAACGCTCAATTTAGAAAATCCATTCAGTTACGTTTCACTGAAAATTAGCATTCAAGGACTCACACATCTTGGCTCACGACAGGGAAGGCTGTTTTTGATATACAGTGGGGCAAAAAAGTATTTAGTCAGCCACCGATTGTGCAAGTTCTCCCACTTAAAATGATGACAGAGGTCAGTAATTTTCATCATAGGTACACTTCAACTGTGAGAGACAGCATGTGAAAAAAAATCCATGAATTCACATGGCAGGATTTTTAAAGAATTTATTTGTAAATCAGGGTGGAAAATAAGTATTTGGTCACTTCAAACAAGGAAAATCTCTGGCTCTCACAAACCTGTAACGTCTTCTTAAAGAAGCTTTTTTGTCCTCCACTCGTTACCTGTATTAATGGCACCTGTTTGAACTCATTATCTGTATAAAAGACACCCGTCCACAGCCTCAAACAGTCAGACTCGAAACTCCACTATGGCCAAGACCAAAGAGCTTTCGAAGGACACCAGGAAAAGAATTGTAGACCTGCACCAGACTGGGAAGAGTGAATCTACAATAGGCAAGCAGCTTGGTGTGAAAAAATCAACTGTGGGAGCAATTATCAGAAAATGGAAGACATACAAGACCACTGATAATCTCCCTCGATCTGGGGCTCCATGCAAGATCTCGTCCCGTGGGGTCAAAATGATCATGAGAACGGTGAGCAAGAATCCCAGAACCACACGGGGGGACCTGGTGAATGACCTGCAGAGAGCTGGGACCATAGTAACAAAGGTCACCATCAGTAACACACTACAACGGCAGGGAATCAAATCCTGCAGTGCCAGACGTGTTCCGCTGCTGAAGCCAGTGCATGTCCAGGCCCGTCTGAAGTTTGCCAGAGAGCACATGGATGATACAGTGGAGGATTGGGAGAATGTCATGTGGTCAGATGAAACCAAAGTAGAACTTTTTGGTATAAACTCAACTCGTCGTGTTTGGAGGAAGAAGAATACTGAGTTGCATCCCAAGAACACCATACCTACTGTGAAGCGTGGGGGTGGGAACATCATGCTTTGGGGCTGTTTTTCTGCTAAGGGGACAGGACGGCTGATCCGTGTTAAGGACAGAATGAATGGGGCCATGTATCGTGAGATTCTGAGCCAAAACCTCCTTCCATCAGTGAGAGCTTTGAAGATGAAACGTGGCTGGGTCTTCCAACACGACAATGATCCCAAACACACCGCCCGGGCAACAAAGGAGTGGCTCCGTAAGAAGCATTTGAAAGTCCTGGAGTGGCCTAGCCAGTCTCCAGACCTCAACCCCATAGAAAATCTGTGAAGGGAGTTGAAAGTCCGTGTTGCTCGGCGACAGCCCCAAAACATCACTGCTCTTGAGAAGATCTGCATGGAGGAATGGGCCAAAATACCAGCTACTGTGTGTGCAAACCTGGTAAAGACCTATAGTAATCGTTTGACCTCTGTTATTGCCAACAAAGGTTATGTTACAAAGTATTGAGTTGAATTTTTGTTATTGACCAAATACTTATTTTCCACCCTGATTTACAAATAAATTCTTTAAAAATCCTGCCATGTGAATTCATGGATTTTTTTCCACATTCTGTCTCTCACAGTTGAAGTGTACCTATGATGAAAATTACTGACCTCTGTCATCATCTTAAGTGGGAGAACTTGCAAAATCGGTGGCTGACTAAATACTTTTTTGCCCCACTGTAGCATCCATGACAGAACAGAACACGCCTTGGCTAGTAGAAGCTAACCATTAGCAATAGCGACTTCACAACATGGCTGAACTCCTTCAGGCTTGTGAAAATTTGTGGAGATAAAACATCAACGCAAACAGATTCAACGGTAGAGTTGCATTGCTGTTGGCCAATCAGATGCAGGATGTCCAAATATCAGGAAATAAGACTTCAAATCCCGCCGTCTTCTGCTCCCCTCTTCTTTGGCTCATTTCTACTTCCTGTAACAGGAACACCTGAAGTCTTGTCCCACAGAGACTGACTCACAAGTTGTTCATTTAAACTAAAGACCACTGCAATTGTCATGAAAAAACAAGTACACTTGGCCTTTACAGTAACACTAGTTTTTTAAACTTTAAGCTAGAGCTTTACCATTGATCTCAATGATTGTTGAGATAGAAACTAGATCAGTTTCATGCTTGACACCACTCAGCTGCCCTCTGCTGACCAAAAACAGCCCTTGATAGTTTTGTAGAGCGGGTAGGTGTCCTAGAGGGCACTCTATACCTGCTTTGCAGATGTTAGCTATAATGTTAGTGGTTAGCATTTTCCGTTTGCCGATCGTCAATAGAAAGCACAAGAATAAGCAAAACAAGAAGTGTGTTATTTTTGTTGGCACCAAGTCGGAGCCTGGAAGTAAAATTAAGAGATTTATGTCTTTGGAAGAAAAGTGAAGAGCTAAAACTAAAGTGAATATGAGCGTGGTCTACTGCTTTGAGGAAGGAGGCTACAAAGTCATGTCGCTGCTGGACTTGTAAGTAACATTTTTTGTCCAACAGTGTGGACCTTTTTAATTTGTGGTTTATTTTAGTATGAGTTGATTCGTGTTAGCTCATTGTTAGCGCTAGCTACAGCAGGCTTCAGCAGGGTTGTTTATAGCAGTTGTAATTCCAGTTTCAACCAGTAGGGTGGAAACAGGAAACTGCCCAGTGTTATTTTAAGAACCATGAGGTTTATCATGTGTGGTAGAACAACGTAGTAAATTTCAAACGTGTCCTGCAGGAGAGAAGCCGTACATCTGTGAGATCTGTGGGAAAAGCTTCACCAGCCGGCCCAACATGAAGCGCCACCGCCGCACCCACACCGGAGAGAAGCCGTACCCGTGTGAGGTATGCGGCCAGCGCTTCCGCTTCTCCAACATGCTAAAAGCCCACAGGGAGAAGTGCTTCCGCGTCAGCAACCCGATGGTCTCGGACTGCAGCAACCCCCTCGGTCTCATCCGGCCCATCATGGACTCTCCCGCCACGCCCATCACCATGCCTGCCGCTGCCTCCAGTCCCCAGTTACCCCTACCGCCGCCTTTGTTCTCTGCTGGTAGGATAAACTCCAACAACTAACAGATCTTTGTAGCATCTGAAGCACTTTGTGAGAGAAGGAGAGATGCACCGATGTGATGCAGAGGAAAGAACTGAGAAAAAGGACAATTATTTTTACTTAAAGACAGTAGATAACCTCAGACCAGCTCAGTCCCACTTTTATTTGATCAGACATTGATTGTAGCGTCTGCTTCAAAATAATTTTCTCTCAAATAGAAATAAGGACTTTTTTTAAAGTGTTTGCCAAAATGTAGCGAGCAGCTCTGGTTTGACCCAGCATTAACCAAAAGCTGAACGTGTACATGTGTGTCACCTCCAATAATCCAACCTGCTATAGGGAAAATAACATTACATTACATTAATATCTGAACCTGCACCTTCAGTTTAACTGCACTCATATTTAAAATGTACTCCTAACTGTTTCATCTGATATAATTGTGATTGTGTGTAACTCGTGGCACGTTTCTAAGAGAAGTTTGAGGTGTGTGTGTGTGTGTGTGTGTGTGTGTGTGTGTGTGTGTGTGTGTGTGTGTGTGTGTGTGTGTGTGTGTGTGTGTGTGTGTGTGTGTGTGTGTGTGTGTGTGTGTGTTGGGGGTGTTAGCATATAAGCTAGTTCACTCTAATCCTAAAACATTTTGCCTGTTAGTCTACTATCATAATTTACTCAAACCGGCAGTATAGTTGCACTATAGACCGAGTTATAATGTTATTAAAAATGTTGCAGCTTATTCTTTTTTCAACTAAAAGTCCTTTGTATCATGAGATTGCAGGATAGAAAAAAACTTGGCTAATTCAGCATATCTTGTATATAATATTCAATTACGATGTAGAACAGTAAAACAATAAACCGCTTTTTTATTAACATAAGATTTGTCCATGAAGTTTGAGGCTACGTCGCTAAAGCTCCATTTATTAGATTTTCTTCTTTATAGGATCTAAGCTCACTATAAAGTGGACTAGTGTAGAAAGATTATGAACGATTAATATCTCAGCCAGTGGTGTTCCAACATTTGTCCAATTGGGAATAAACATAAGCCAAAAATAGTCCAATTTTAACAAAATAGGATTAAATTGTTTGTTTTTACAGATATAAAATGGTTCTCATCTCTTGGTCCTGAGAATTAGTTTTGTTTAATTATCAGCTACAAGAACAAGATCTGGGTCATTTATTTTTGTATGTTTGGTAAATAATATGCACAAGTCCGATTTTTGGGAGGAGTTTATCTTCCAAAAAGTTAAATAAAAAGCAAAAAATGTGGTTTATAAAAACAAAAACGTTGTGTTGCATTCAAGGTTTTCAATTTAAAAAATATGCATGCTGCAAATTGGAGACTTCAGATTTTTATCTGTTGTAGATTTCTCATTTAACAACCTCAGTTTAAAAAAAAAGATATACTTATGGCCAGATTGACGGGCTAATGGCTAGTTCAAGCTGGTCCAGGACTGGCGTCTGCTATGTTTAGCTTCAGCTGCAAAGCTGTTCATGCAAATACATTTTTATAACTGTCTAAATGTCAAATTATTTGTGCACAAATATAATAGGTTAGATTTCCTGTTCAAAGTGACTTGGGTTTGATTTTTAGCATCTAACCAGAAGCTAGCTAGTTCTAGCATCCGACACGCAGAACTTTGTTGATTAAAAAAAAATGTAAAGCATGATAGAAACGTGTGTGCACAAACATTACAAGACAACTATCATGTTGTTCCTGATTAGACTAGCCGTTAGCTCGTCAGTGAGGTCATAATTTAGCTTTTTCTTCTCAGTGAGGCTGTTCAAAGAGACTTCTATACTTAAAACCCGCCTCTGAACTTAAAATAAAAAAAAAATTCTCCTTAGCTAAGCTTGCAGCTGGTTAAACAATAAACGTGTACAAGTGGTGTCACAAATTTCCTTCAGCTCTCTCAGCCTAATTGCAAATAACAGTTTCAGATGTGATTAGAGTCTGTGTGCACTATTGAAAAGCTCCCAATCACCTTAATGTAGCCCACTTGTAGTGTAGCATTAACTCGATATACAGTTGTGTTTTAATTTTTGCTGATTAAATAGAGAAATGTGTCCCATGTGCGTCTGAGCTGGTGCTACGGAAAGCCAAAGTTTCTTTAAACATAATAGGTTGTTTGTCATTTTCAATTTCAGGCTAAGTTTAGCTCTTTATTAGTGAAATTCATTTCTCTGTTTTTTTTACAACAACAATACATATTTCTGTTTTTTATTATTTAATCTAATTTCTTCAGGACAGAAAAATATGTTTATGTGGAAAAAATAAGTTATGAAAATGTCTAAGGGCTCTAGTTGTGTCTGATCCCAGATCTGTGCATTTGTTACACTACCGTAGGTATTAAACAAGAGCCTAAATTAGTAATGCTTAATAATGGTACATTAGAGTTTTTAGACTCATTTAAAGCACTTCTTTTGTTTGTTTGTTTTTTCTGCTTTGTACAGAATCAAGAATAACTCCAGTTTAGCCATAGTGGGAAGAGAGAGAGAGAGAGAGAGAGAGAGAGAGAGAGAGAGAGAGAGAGAGAGCCAACGTTTCGCAAATGAGCAGAAATTTGAGCCTATTTTTGTCATTTAAGCCTGTTTTTGTCCAAAAGAATAAAAAAAAACATTTTATTCTCAAAGTAAAATGTGCAAAACAAGGTTAGAAACAACAAAATTGTATATAAACGTGTAGCCATACCTTAAATGTACTTCCTGGTATTTAATCTGCACTATAAGAAATGAAATTTTGAGTGGAAGTTTTGTGGCAACTGACTGTTGATTCTCTATAAGAAGCCTCTAGCTGTTATTGGATAAACATTTATTGGATAAACATTTGTTATTTTAAACATACAGATATCTGTTTTCCACTTTTCAGAGAAGTTTTGATTAACTGTGGCTTGTGTATTTGCCTTATACTTGTATGGATTTATGAATTTTTGTTTGTTTGTGTGGAAAATGATAGCAGCTGATTGTAAAGGAGAATTAATGGCGAACACTACTGATTAACGCACTTTTGATTTTGTCGTTCATGTTTGAGTGAACGCGTATCATAAGTCTCCACCCACTCAAGCACCAAATAACAGACAATAATATTTTAAGAGAAGACAGTAAGGGTAAACACTACAGGATTTAATACCTGGGGAATAAATATCAGAGGTGCGTTTTTATTTTAGGATCTTAAAAATGTCTCATTTGTTTACACAGAGGGGGAGGGGCATAAAACACGTTTTGCAACCAGCCACTAGGGGCACTACTGATTCTTTTCGCTTCAAATTCTGCATTTCATTGTTAGTTATTACAGATGTTGATGACTGAAGCAAGGTAAAACAACAACTTTAATAATAATAATAATAATAATAAACTGCAGTAAGTGATTGCTAATTGCTTTTTAGAAATGGATCACATTTCTCAGTCTAACATCATCCAGCACTTTGAGTAAAAAAGCCCTACTTTAGTTTTTAAGGTCAGTTAACTACAAGCCAGTGGAAACAGCTCTATGTGTTTTTAGTTTGTGACATTTTTAGACAAAAAAGACAAAAAAATTAAAAGAATGTGTGAGCAGCCAAATTATTTATGTAATAAGTAATGTTTTGTTGATAAGAGCACTTTATTCTCCAAATCGGGTTTAAAAAGTGAAACCGTAATCTTTCTGAGGAAGGCTGCTGGTGTGTGTGTGTGTGTGTGTGTGTGTGTGTGTGTGTGTGTGTGTGTGTGTGTGTGTGTGTGTGTGTGTGTGTGTGTGTGTGTGTGTGTGCCTTCAAATGATCAAAGTGAGATCGAAGTCTCATTAATGAGTCCCTGTTCAACGTTGTGATCAATCAAGAAATCGGTCCTGAATCGTCCAAAAGCAAAGTCAGCAGACTGTAGTCATATATGAACGAACGCTAAAACGGCTCTAAGAAATGGTCGTATTATTGATGTTGTAGAGATCACGCAGGTCGAGTGAGCTGATCATCTTGCTGTAATAAGCAAAAATGTCATATTTCTGTTTTATTTTTTTTATCCTCACCAAAAACTAAATCAAATCAATCATACTTTATTGAAAACACACACTAAACAGTCCTTTATGATCTCCCAGATTATTAGAAAAAAAAACATTTTAAAATGTAAATTAACGTTTTGAAAATTATGCTAATTTTCAAATTGGTTTTTGCACAGGAGTTTAGTTTAGTTTTTCTATTAGCCAAATTATTCTTTACTAAAGCTAAGAGCCAAAGGCTTGAGTTAGTTGTATTTGTCCTTGAATCCAAGTTTTATCATAATTAGCTGGATGCAAACACATCCAGCGACTCTGCATTCTGCATTGCATTCACCATATGTCTACATAACCTGCTGCCATGTTTTATTTCTATCACAGATTGAACAATAGAGCGTAAGTTCTGCTCTTGTAGGCCTGCAGACTTCTCTCACTTAATGAGAATATTCTTTTGAACGTTTAGCTGGGATTGATTTTGGCTCCTGGGCAGCACAGATAGATAGGAGCAGCATGTTTAGAGCAGAGGGTGCTCATGGGATCGACTCTCTGGGTTACAGAAATGGGTTTCATTTAGTGGCCTTCACCTTCAGCTGGAGGGAAAAGTGCCATTTTAAGAATGAATTTAATCTCCTGTAAGATGCATTTTTGTTTAAAGAGTTTAAAGTTATCTTGTGGTGTCATGTTTTTGAACATATTTTGTGTATTTTTTATTTCCTTTTGGCCTGTGTTTGATTAAAAATGTGGAGCACCAAAAGGTCAAAAATTAAGCCATTTGAGTTATTAAAATAAAACGTGAGCTGGAATGATTATTATTTTTTTATGATTGTAACTGATGGTTCTGGGTGTCTTTTTACTAAAATGAGGCATCTTATTGGATACAGGGGGCAGTCTTTTTGTCTATTTTTCAAGAGTTTTCATTAATCCTTCACAATAAGAGCCTGAGGCATATATATTTACCTGAACACAGCTAAAAATTATGAAATAGTTTGGGGTTCTACCTGAGAACAGTAGTAAAGCTTGCTTTTAGCACCCCCTAGTGGTCATTACTAAGTTAAGCATTCGTCTTTTTAACACCTTAATCTAACTGCTGAAATGTTTCCTCAGCCTTCATTAGTGTCTACAGGAGCGGTTCATCACTAAATAAAAAATTTTTAAAAATCAGCTGTGTTCACGATCTAAAACATGCAGGAAATGTGCTGGAAGCAGACTCCAGGCATGTCAGCTGCACTTTACTGAGTCCAACAGGGGCTGGACCGGCAATTCTGAAGTTGCAAGTGCGGTATGCTGGCAACAGACGGCGGTGAGAGCTTGAGTAACATTTCATAAGTAACAGATTATTTTAGCACATACTGGCTCAAGAAAATGATTTAAAAATATGAAAAAGTATGGCTTTAATAAAACATTTTCAGCTCCCTGAACCACCATTTTCAATTATACTGAAAAATGATCTCACACAGTCGGGTTTTAGAGGACTTTAGTTCTGACCATACAGATGAACTAGCGGCTAGTAGATTGGGGGCTACGGTGACACAGGAGTTAAGTGCTCGCCCCGTAATCAGAAGGTTGCAGGTTCGAGCCCCGGTCACTCAGTCACTGTTGTTGTTTCCTTGGGCAAGACACTTAATCCCCCTTGCCTGCTGGTGGTGGTCGGAGGGACCTGTGGCGCCAGCGCTCAGCAGTCTCGCCCCTGTCAGTGTGTCCCAGGGCAGCTGTGGCTACATCGTAGCTCATCACCATCAGTGTGTGAATGTGTGTGTGAATGGGTGAACGGGTGAATGACTGATTGTGTTGTAAAGCGCCTTGGGGCGTCCCAGGACTCTAGAAGGCGCTATATCAAATACAGGCCACTTATCACTTACAATAAATTGCTGCCACATTAAAACAAGTCAAAAAATCTTTATGGAATTTTGTGTGAATAATTATTATTATATAAATTCCATTCATATAACATTCCAACCGGAAGTCCTCCAGGCTGCACCGCTAGCTGCTGCGGTCATAATTTGCACTTATAAAAACCACGTAGTTGTTATAATCATCCATGTGATTTCACATTTCTTGCTGAGTAGAGGTTCATTAGTTTAATTACTAATTCCCTTTAACTTAGCCTTGTTCATGCTGACATTAGCACTTGTGTCCGATCAGAGCTAGTCCTTTTTAAAACTGATTTTCCAAATAGCCATCTACCACAGGTAAAATGATAATTGTTTTAAAAATATAAGCTAGCCAGAAATCTGTTAATGTTTAAATGGTTTGAGGGAATTTCTTGGGGAAATAAAATCCAAGAAGAGGTAATACTAGCATAGAAAAATGAAGTAAAATCTGTTAGATTCTTAATTTATTTACAACAATTAAACACAAATATTAGAATTTTGCCAGTATTGGAGCTCCATACATTATTCAAAACTTACAAGTAAACGCTGATCATTTAAAATGTTGCACTTTGAATTGCTGCTTAGAATTTGACTCCTTTTGGGGAAAAGATGGTGAACATAGACCAGGTGCCGTGGTCAGCCCCCTCTTCAACGCTCCGTCAGATTGGTCAAACTGCAGCTCTGTTCAAGAAACCCTGATGTGTTTTGTTACTTGCTGATTGTCTCGTCTGTGTTATAAACACCACAGTGTGTATCGGTCCATTCTGCCCAACAGTGGTTGTTACATTCGGCTGTGATAAGCAACAAAAAACAAGGGCAGTAGTGTCTAGAGGTGCTAATAAATATCATTAGGCTGTATTTTCGTCTTTCATTGTATTATTGACCAGTGTTAACTGTCTGTAACACAGTAGAGCATAAAGACGTCATTTCACTATTAAACAATATAAACATATTACTGAAAATATGCATGTGTGTTCTCTTCTTGTTTTTTAGTTTGACTTTTGTAGGTTTTGCTTTTTAATGGTAAAAGCTTCTGGTTTAAATCACAACTTAAACTTTGCTGCCATCTGGTGGAACGTGTACAGATTCCCAATGAGCCAATGTAGGCTTTAGATCCAAAATGTTATTTATTTAATAATTTATTGCAAAATTATTAACAGTCTACTGATTACGTTCCACAATCTCAGTCCATTAATTGCAAAAATACATCTATAAACAATGTGGGAAAACCTGCAGCTGAGCTTCTTTTTCTGATTTTTGAACATTTTTAGGGATTAAAGCCGTGTTAACACTTTAGAAGTTCCGGGAATTTTCTAGTATGGGGGAAGATGATGAGGAACCTACGATAGTTCAGTCCTCTCAACTATTGTGTCTCCAAACAACGACTTTCCAGAACTTTACTACCATGTTAGCATGTTCCAACCATCCATGGACATTAATAATATTTTTAAAGTTTTATTCTGTCAAAATATGCCACAATTGAATCCATTTAGGTGATGAGGAGAGCAGCTGTGTGACGTAAAATGCGGCGTTCAGTGATGAGAAGAATTGCTGTTTTTATGGAGCTATGTATGTGACAAAAAAGCACATGAAATTAAGAACCGCTTTTAGATGACCCACCATCCCAGCAAATAAGCGTAATACTGCTACCACGGTGTGTCTTATGAAAGCGCCGTGGCAGCATGGCAATGTTAGCCTGGCAAGCCTAAATAAATGTATTATTTAGCCTGGCAACGCTCCATTGACGGCTCTCAGTCTTGGGGCGGGTTCTACCGTTGTCTTTCAAACGATCTCCACTTGCTACTGGACAATGAACAACGTGATTTACTCACCACAATGGATGTCAGTAAACGAGGTGGCCTGCTGTTGAAGACGGTGAAAATACATCCTTTTTTATAAATAAAGGACTTAAACACATCTATTTGCTCTTGATTCTAACAAAGCCCACGTCTAAATAGTCCAAAATTGATGTAAAAGCCATTTCAAATGAGCGGTCGCCATCTTGTTCCATTCTGTTGCATCATCCCACCCACCAGACAAATAGAGGGCCCTGATTGGTCCACAAAGCAGATAGAGCACTGTGATTGGCCCATCGTTGTGGACCAATCACAGTGCTCTATAGGATTGAAACCCCCTATAGAGAGCTGTGATTGGCCAGCCAGAATGCTGCTAGGGGCTGTGGAGGTTCCAATGGAGCGTTTCTAGACCAAAGTTTGCAAAGCAAGAATTTGGTCTAGTTAGCTAGGACAATGTGGGAATTTTGCCGCATTTGTGCCGCCACACTCCGTAACGTTGCAACAACACTGGACTTGTGAATGAAGATCATGCCTTGGCGCAACAGAGGGTGGTGTCATTATGCACGTGTGGCATGTTCTCTAAAAGCGGCTAAGTTGTGGAGTGATTTCTGCTGCATTTTTTGGCTTTGGGGGTTTAAAAATAGATATTTTAAAGCAGTGTCAACGCTGCTTATTTTTGTTTCTTTTACAGTCTACTTCACTAGCAGTTCAGGTACTTGGATGACCCTTGAAATTACCCAGAAAGTTGTCCTTTTAAGGCTAGCCCAATGAAATGGAAACACCTGCATAACATGAATGTCCGGTACATTACCCGGAAGATGCGATAATGGAATCTGGAAGCCAGAAAAGAAAGAAGTCCAGCTGCTTTCAGCTCACACTGACATTGGAGTCTGCAACCATGAATGTGTCTGAGATATAAAACCTCATGGCACTGCCTCAGATCCAAACCCATGTCCACTCATGAGGCTGGTTTCACATCTTGGTGAGACGCAGTGTGTTTAATCGGACCCCTAAAACTGTGGCTCCAGATGCGTACTGGATCTCTCTGAGGACCCCGGTCCACTTCTGTTCAGTCTCATTAAACCTGAGGAGATCATTTTTACAGTTTAAAGACTGATTTTAAACAAAAGATATGATTGTGTTGCTGTGTACCTCCAAATATCATTCATCTCTTTGGGAAGGATCTCATCGCTGTCCTCCAAAGGCACCATGGCAAAGCCGCCCACACAGTAAAGGCAACCCGCCAACGATACAAGGTTCAGAGAGCTGCGCTCCTGTGGAAACGCCTCAAAATCTGACCACCTGAGATGTGAAAAAAGCCCTTTTACTGAACATGAAAAAAAACTACCACCTTATTAATATTTGGGTATTTTTTTACTGAGAAGAACTGACGTATTGGTAGCGATGTCGTAGACCTCCACGGAGTCCGTCAGGCCGTCGTCGGTCACTCCTGCTGCAACGTAAATCTGGTCTTTGTGAAGAGTCGCACCAAACAAGGAGCGTGCCGTCTTCATGGGAGCCAGTTGCTTCCATTCAAATCTCTTAGCATCATACGCGCACATGTCCTTCAGACAGCTCCTATAAACATGAATTATTTTCATTAATATGGCGTTATTTTACCTCTATAGCTGAGACATCTCTCTTTTACAGCTTTTACACAAATTCAGCTTTGAAGCTTTGCTACCGTTTCTTTTAAATCTGCCTGAACTCGATACTCCTACGATGTTTTTACTAGATGCACAAACCGTACATAGAAACGTTGAATCTCGAGACTGGGGTGTGCACAACCTCCTGCTCACATAGCGATCCAACATAAAGAGTTTACTGATGGTGTTGTTTATATTTTACACAGCAACTTAGTTTTAATAAGTCTGTGCTTATCTGCGTTTATGTATTTGTGCTTGTGTGTTGTTTCCATGGTGGCCCTAATGAACGACTGGAAGCAAATTTAACATTTCTGCACCCTTAAAAAATCATAACTTTTATTCACATATTTTGTGGTAGAAAGCTTTAATTGTCTGTATTTTTTCCACACAAAGATGTCTCTGGTAGCACATACTCACTTGTCTCCCTTTCCTCCGATCACATAAACAACATCATTGTGTGATATTGTTGAATGTCCGTAGACCGGGTACGGAAGTGACTCCGATTCTCCCCATTTAAAGGATCTGTGGTTTAAAAAAAAAAGATTAATTTAATTTAATTAATTTGGTAACACTTAACATTAAAGGTTCCTTTAACGTTAATATTGTTAACCATTAAATGTCCTTAAGGTTAGGACAAAGGTTCACATGCACTGCATAATATGGTTAAGCAGTTTATTTTTTATTTATCCATCCATTTTCTTCTGCTTATCCGGAGTCAGGTAGCAGCCTAAGTCAAGAAGCCTAGACTTCCCTCTCCCCAGCTACTTAGGCCAGCTCCTCCAGGGGAATCCCAAGGTGTTCCCTGGCCAGCCGAGAGACGGAGTCCCTCCAACATGTCCTGGGTCTCCCTTTAGTTCTCCTGGTTGGACGTGCCTGGAAAACCTCACCAGTGAGTCATCAAGGAGGCATCCTCACCAGATGCCTGAGCCACCTCAACTGGCTCCTCTTAATGTGGAGGAGCAGCGGATCTACTCCGAGCCCCTCCTGGAGCCCCTCACCCTATCTCCAAGGGAGATCCCAGCCACTCTGCAGAAAAAACTCATTTCAGCCGCTTGTATCCCCGATCTCGTTCTTTCGGTCACTACCTGAAGTTCATGACCATGGGTGAGGGTAGGAACGTAGATCGACCGGTAAATCGAGAGCTTCGCCTTCTGACTCAGCTCTCTCTTCACCACGACAGACCGGTACAACGCCCGCTTCACTGCAGATGCAGCACCAGTCCGCCTATCGATCTCACGCTCCAGCTCTCCCTCACTCGTAAACAAGACACGGAGATACTTAAGCTCCTCCACTTGAGGCAGAACCTCATCCCTGATCTGCCGAAGGCATTCTACCCTTTTCCGATACTTTATTTGATCATTTAATAATGCACTAAGTAACGCTATTAAAAGGGCCCCTTGTTGTAAAGTGCCACCATTCATTACATTTAATTCATTTGCAGTCAGTATTAAAACTCCCCAACTCACTGCCTGTCGTAGACCAGAACTGAATCCAGAATGTTCTCCTCCTTCAGGTCCTTTCCTCCCAGAACAAAGATGGAGTTCTCGGCCTCGCCCAGTCCAAACAGGAAGCGAGGAGATGGGAGGGGGGGCATCCCAAGCCAGTCTGAACCAACCGGGTCATACTGAGGTCAAAGGAGTCAGAAGGAATGAGAACGGGATCAGATTTTCAGCTACTTTTTCTCTTTTTATCCTACCTGTAGGAAGTAGGAGCTCAGTGGGTCCTCCTTATTCTCTTCATCAACGAATAATCCTCCCACCACAAAGACCTGGTTCTCTTTGGTCACCAAACTGGAGTGGTTCTTGGGGATCTGCGTGGAGAGCGACGCCATAAAGCAGTCGTTTTCTGATGGGTCGTATGCTACGGCGCCTGCGTTGTTGATCATCAGGATCAAGTTTCTGGCAAACATTCCAAATCTCAGGTTGTCATTGAGAATGGCTGGTAGGAGGTCCTCCTCCTCCTCCTTTTCCCCGTTGTCTACATCTGTTGCTGCTCCGCCATCCTCCTTCTTACTTTTGTCCTTTTTGAGCTCCGGCATTTTCCCAGCACGAGCATCCCTAACCAGCTGGAGCTTCTGCTGAAGCTCTGGACTAGATGAGATCAGCTCATGTTTCTCCACTTTTTCCTTCAGAAACTCATCTGTGACCAGACGCAAACGAACGCAGTCGAGCAAATCTGGGAGTTCTTTCAGCCGGTTCTCTGTGTCCCTGGACACCCAGTTCATCAGAGCGTCGAATACAACCTCCTCTGTCTCCACATTCAAATTGTCATTGGTCAAAATGGCTGCCAGCTCACTGGGGCGCAGCTGGAGGAAGTCCTCGTCTCTGGAGATGAGCTGGAAGCGCTCTAAGGCGTAATTCCGGGCCGAGACAGCCAGCCTGGGGCAGTCCAGCATCAAGCCGAGTCTGAAGACAGCCAGGCAGTTGCTAATGCTCAGACGCTTTTGCAGAAAAGACACACAAACCGTGAAGATGGAGGGAATCTGGTACATGTTAGCGACAGCGAAGATGTCCTGGACGTTCTGCTCGGTCACATTGATTTTAGAGGTGTACAGGTACTTCAGGATCAGACCCATGACCCCAGGCTCCACGTCCTCCAGCACAATTTCCCTTTTCTTGCTCTCCTCCAGGTCGGACAGAAAGATGGAGCGGAAGTATGAGCTGCAGGCACACAGTACCAGGCGGTGGCAAGGGAACTCCTTGTCTTTGATCTTCAGCACACAATCGATCAGTTTGTCGCTCTCCAGCAGGTCGTACAGGCCGTCCTGGAGTAAGGTCTGCTGGTACAACCTGGGCTCGTCCATCGGGTTCACGGGCAGAGCCATCGTTCCTGATGAAGGGAGTCTACTAGAGGCCGCAAATCCAATAAACGTGTCTACAGTAAAGTTCGGATCGCAGTCTGGAACGTGGATTTAAACACGCAGTGAGCCTGCTCACCAGCTGAATCCAGGGACGGCCCACTTCCTCAGCTGTCCTGACCCTTCAACTGAATTCCAACTGAAAGCTTATTTTTAGACGGGCAGTTCTGTGTGGAGCTATGGGCTTTATTCTGGAACGCTGAAATACAATACGGGCATCTCTGGAGCCTTTTCCCAGCCGCTCCCCAGGAGCATCACACAGCTGATGCGTTGAAAAACGTTTCCAGCATGAGTCATCGTGGTTGTTCATGAAGTCTTTGAGACAGACAGATCAGGCAACAGCTATTTTATAATCCTCTACACAGCACTGAGCTATTCCCTCAGGAATATTCTGGTATTCCTGGCAGTGTCAATGTTTAGACATTTTGACCACGTTGAGACTAGCCGTTAGCTCATCAATCCACTCAGAATAAAACTATTTCTCCAAACCAAGATCCTGTTTACATATAGACATAAAACAGCTGATTGTGTCTGAAATATGTCCGACTCCTGTTGGTAAAACTCCAGATGGAACACCCCATGGAGACAAGATGGTTTGAATAAATAAAAGTTTGTTTATTGCATTTAAATCAAATCTGGTGTTGCTTCAGACTGAGTGGTGTGTTTCATGTTAAATTACTAGAATTACTAGTGAGGATTTTCCACAAAAGTGGAAATAAATATTTAGTTATAATGTATTTATAGGTTAAATACAGTAGATTCATTTTTAGTAGCTAATAGGCTATAATTATGTGTGCAACACTCCCCAATACACAGTTAAAGGTCTACTCTGCTTTTTCTCTGTTGGGATCTGCCTCTGGCTGTGCAGCAGCAGGTGGAGTCGTGGAGGCAGTGGGGCCGGTTGCAGCGTGTACTGTTGGTGCAGGAGGAAGGGGATCAGGGTCGTCGATGAGCGCCCGTCTCCTCTCCAGCTCCTTGATCACTTGAACCAGACAGTAGGTCACAAACATCACAACGATGGTGGTGACAGGGAACCCTTTGAGAAGGAGCCGTTTGGCGACCAGCTTGGCGAACTCCAAGCTGTTCAAAGCCACAGAGTTGTACAGCACGATGCTCCAGAAGTTGAAAGTATTGAAGACGGCTCTGACACGTCGGGACATAGCTTCTGACATCGCTGCCTGTGAATAAAACACCACAAATACATTATGTACAGAGATGTTTTTGATATTATCGGACGATATTGGAATGAAAATGGAAAATTGTAAATGATCAGTATCTGTTTTCACTTTTTTAATCACACAGATTTTACATAGTATACATCAAACTCTTCAACTACTTCTCACTCAAAATGTCAAAATATGACAGATCCGAGGGACAGATCTTGAGACACATTTTTGTTTGGCACAACTGGCCTAATGTAAAGGTGCATTATGTCAGAATGAAGTAAGAGTGACATCCTGTGGTCCGATTTTGGTACTGCACTCCATTTTTTTCAAACACACGTCACATTCTCACTCCCGCTCTTTGAGTTTCCAGGTTGTTACCAGTTACAGATCAGCACCAGAAGATTCTACATCACGGCTATTCTATTGCGGGCCTGGAGGGCTGGTGTCCAGCACGCTTTAGTGGTTTCTCTTGTCCAATACACTTGATTCAGTGGTTGAATGACCTGTGCAGCAGCTCATCAGGCTCTGCAGAAGCCTGTTAATCACCTGCTGATTGAAATCAGGTGTGTTGAAGCAGGGCTAAAACCTAAACGTGCTGGACACCGGCCCTCCAGGCCCAGAACTGAACAGCCCTGTTCTACATGATGGGAAAAGATGAGTCCCACAGTAAGTTTAGAAGTAGATGAATACATTTCACTGTAATGTCAAGTGTTAGGTAAATGAAAAAAGTGCTTGAGATTTTTTTTTAGAGCTATCAACTTCTAATTAATCGTTAACATTGTTAGAGCCGCGTTAGCCTCTAGCCTACTTTACCAGATATTTGAGTAAAACAAAAATAAGCCATGGCTTTTTAGGTTTACAATAAATATTTTTGGGGTCGCTCAATGGCGCCCCCAAGGGGTGGCCAGGGGTGGCCATTGCCAACCCTATAAAATTGCTGCCACCCCCCAGAAAAAGCCAGTGGGAAGAAGTGATATTAATGTTTGCTCAAACCAAAAATTGTTCTTATTTATTCCAAACATAATTGTAAAACAAAATAAAAACAATACAATTAATGAGTAAACAAATAATCAGAATAAAAAATACATGTATCTGCTGCTCATCATTTCAAGAAGTTTTTGTCTCTATAGCTTTTTGTGAACACAGCAACAGGTGAATTAAACAAAAAAAACTATTAAAAATAAAATTTAAAACATTTTAAATAACTGAAATGTCTTTTTCTGAAATGTTTGTGTTTGTAAAATTTAAGTTAAATGTTTTGGATTCGTACAGTTTTTTTTTTAATAAAAATGAATAAAAGAGCAATGCAATACATTGCCACAGGCAATTTGGTATGCCACCCCAAAAATTTCTTTGGCCCCATCTGGTCACCCCTATCAAAACTTTCTGGAGGTGCCGCTGGGGCAGCTCCTGTTAACTGCGTTTGCTGGCTGATGTTGAATTACAAACGCAGACGCTGCAGCCCTGACTCGGCAACCCTGCAGGCTCACAGATTGCAAAGAAAGACTACGTCCCTCTTTGGCTATTTTAAAAGGAGAAAACTGACAACCCCCCAGCTGGCTGAGAGTAAATCTGTTGCAGTGTAGCCTTCCTTCCAACATGATTGAGCCATTTGACTGTTCTGTGATAATTTCAATGTAAATCTTACATGTTGTACTTTTAAATGTAAGTAGTTGACCTATTTTGGACAGATCATGTTCAGAGTTTAAGTATACATGAGATGTGTGATGTTAGTTTTCTTTTTATTTACTGGGGGGGGGGGGGGGGGGATGTTCTGCATACATTGGTATGGAGTGATATTAGTATCGATATAATCAAATATCTGTAAAAAAAAAAAAAGCCAGCATCAAACATTTAAGTATTGGGATGAAATGTGAAGGCCAACAAACCTCATAGGAGACAAACGGCTCCATGGAGGAGACCTTAGAGGTCCACAGCTCAAAGTTGAGACCCAAACAGTTGAAGAAGGCCCAGAGCAGAACCACCTGACTGGGTCCCAACCAGAGAATGACAATGCTGTAGGTGCAAAGTGTCGCCAGCAGCTCCTCCAGGACACCGTCGTGCCTCCCACCCAGATAGTTGTAAACGTACCTGAGGACCCAAACCCATCAGAACCTTCATATCTGAGCTCAATGGTAATAAAGTCGCGTGAGGAGTTTTCTGTGGTACTCACTTGCACAGCCAGTCGTTAATCCCTCTGTCAAAATGCCTGAATGAAAACAACAGCTGGTTTAGGTTTGTTGAACCGGAAGAAGTTCTGATGCACAACTTGGACTCACGTTTCAGCGAATACGTAGAGCATAGTGATGCACTTTGGTGGTTTCGGTGGGTCCAGGTGATCCAGCTGGGACACAGTGCTGATGACACCAAACATGACGGCTGCTTTTATCCAGTCATAAACCAGAGTGAAGTAAGCCACGCCCACTGGCAACAACACAGGAGAACAAGTTCAGTCAGAGTTCTCTGATCAGAGTTTCTATGAGACGGTACCAACCCAAAGCCCAGTCAGAGAGGTGTTTCAGAAGCTTCATGTCAGCGGGAATAGTGAGGATGTATAGAAAGTGGAAGAAGATGTCCACCATGATTATGACTCCTAAATGGATCAGGCCCTGCAGCCTGATATTCCACATCTCCGTTTCCTTCCTGGATAAGTCCGACTTATTGGCCTGTAGAGAGAGAGACACAAACACCCAACCTCCAGAGAAGAATCTCCTCTCACAAGAAACTTTAGCTCAGTATTTGTAAATCAGTTATGGTTAGGGTTAGCAAATGCATTTCCAGTAATTACTTTAAGAGTTTCATTGAAATATATCAAACCGATCATTCAGATAGGAACTAGCAAGCTGAGCTTACTTGTGCATAAAAGTTGTCAAAGGTCATGATGGGACCAAAATAAAAAAACGGGAGGTAGAAGTTGTACTTGAGCAGCTCTAGGATGTTGTAGTTCCCATCTTTCCGTTCACAGTTTTCCAAAGCAAAGCTCATGCAGCGCATGATGGTGAACCCACAGCCTCCGTAGAAGAGGACGTGACGAAGCTCAAAGTCTCCCTCCACAAGGCCTGCCTTTATAGAGGAGAAAGCGTGAGAAATAAAAACACTAAATCCTAATCACTGAAGGACTCCAGGTGATTCTACCTGCCAGGACACAAAGGGTTCACATTTAAAAGTAGTGAGGGTGCAGAGGCCAGTGACAAAGCAGAGCCAGCGGATTTTCACCAAGGAGACGCTGTAGAGTAGGATACAGTGGGACAGCACGAGGGCGATGTAGGTCCAGCCCATACTGGTCAACACAGCCAGAAGACCGTACACCATGTGGACCAGGGACCTGTACTGTAAGACAGGAACAGAATCACACAGTTAGGCGGATGTCTTAAACTTTAAATCAAAGAAAGTTTCCATTTTCTGTAATTAGAGGATAATTTACCTCATTTGGAATTAGCTGTTTTCCTAAGCATCAACAGATGTGGACTGAACAAAGATCAATGAAGAAAGTTGGTTTTATTTCTGCACCTGTCCACAGGTATTCAGGCCAACTCCTCGTGTCTGAATGGTCTAATGGTTGGTGCTGTTCTAGGGTTAGGGTTATTTAAATGTGTTTTGGTCCATTATCCTGTTGGAGAACTCATGATACATAACTGAAACACATTTGGCTTCAGAAAGCCTTGATCATCTGGAGATGCTTCCTAAATTGTGTGACCAGGAAAATGAAGCTGATGGAATTAGCCAAAAAGGTCCAGTTATGTTTTCCAGTCTCACTTTGCTTTTGTTGTATTATGTCCACTTTAGCTTGAATAGCGATGAACGACCTTTGAGTTAACCTCTAATCTATTTAGAAGATGCTCTGGTCAATGTAGATTCTAATCATTTCATCAAGACATGTTGTCTTTAACCTACCTCTTGAGGCCACATCCACGTGGTCCTCTACAGTCCTGTGAGCCTCCAAGTTTGGAATAAAACGCCCATTTGTAGTCAGAGGAACATCACGCTGCTTGGAGATGGTCTTTCAGCCTTTAGCTTCAACATGCTGTTCAATAATTATCTTATCTCCCGAAACAAATCTGTCCTGAGGTTTCTGTGGTCCATGTTCAGTGTGGTACACACCCTGATATCAATCAGCACTGTGACTGCCATACAGCCTTCAAATAGATCGATTACAAGACTGGAGCCCCGTGTGATGCTAACTGATTAGTTAGACCATGTCAAAGTATTTCAGGTTACATTAATTTAAGAAAACCTTGGATATTTCTTCCCCCTTCTTTCGTAGTAGAGAAATGTATTATAATGTATTAGGTCATGTCTTTGAAGCTTATTTAACAGCAAAGTGGAAAACATTCAGACAGTAGTGCAGCACCTGTGGAGCCAACACGGAGCAGATTTTGGCGAACAGCACATGACCAGAGAGCGCAAACAGGATGTGCGATCTAAAGGTGGAGAACCACATCATCCACTCAAAATCAGCAGTGTCCTGTGGATCAGAGAGAAAAAATAAGGACTTTTTTTTTATTAATGACCTATTTTATATGTGACTGTTTACCATTTTTCTCCCAAAGTACCCAGGCTTCAAACTGGCTTTGAATGTTTTTCTGCTTACGCTGGCTGAAATCAGAGAAGAAACTATGATAACAGCATTTTTCTTGTTAAAATAAAGTTTAATCTGCTCTAAAGAGACATTATGAGGTAAAACAAATATATTTTAGAGATTGGGTTTGACTCCAAGTGACCAGTAAAGTCAGTCTGGGAACATAAAGCTGCAGCATGTCTAGACAAGAATGGTTTAACCTTAGTCAAGCATCTTAGATGATAGAAGGAAGATGCCATAGCTCCATTTATGTGACCTCTAAAGCAAAAGGCATTGCCAATCATCACCTATTAATGAATAACCAAATCCCTTATGTGGGGTTTAACTCGCCAAAATCAACCATAGAGTCATCAGTGTAGCGACTGGAACCAAAGAGCACTGCTTCCATCTTACGTTCATTAATGCACAGGAAGTTCTCAGCCATCCATGCTTTGACATCACCCAAGCAATCTAAAAACTGTGAGATTGGCCAACCGCTGTACTCATCTAAAGGCTGACAGTCATCAGCCTTTAGATGAAATGCGATACTTCGTAGGATATCACCCAATGGGCCGAATGTACACACAAAACAGCAGGGGTCCTAATATTGAACCTTGCGGGACACATAATAATAATAATAGTAGTAATAAAAACAATAATAATTGCAAAGTGCAATAATTTTTTTATTAACCTCAAATGGTTTAACCAAAATTTGAAAAGTAAACAAATTGTCAATTTATCAGCAAATAATTGAAGTTTTCTTTGTATTTAATATCTTTATTGATTGACACAAAATCAGTCATACCATTTTCAAAAATGACTAAATGTTTGTCTTTTGCTTTTTCCTCCCAAAACCACACACACACACACACACACACACACACACAACCTCACACACACACACACACACACACACACACACACACACACACACACACACACACACACACACACACACACACACATACACACACACACACACACACACACACACATTTTACAGATTTAATAAACTCACATTGGATGATGTCATGTTAATCAAAGTCTGTCATATTACCAAAAAATGAAAAATAATTAAACAATATTTGATTAAAGATAAATAAATAAAAATACTTCAGGGGGAAATATTGCATACTTCTGATGCACTGATATGACATTTTGGGCCGTTACCGATATCCGACCGATATTAATATTGTTATGGCCGATAACAGATATTTGCTGATACTGATATACTGACAAATAATGCGTCTAAAATCAGCAGATTTTGTATAGAATGAAAATTATTAAAGTTGAATTTGCATTATTATGTATACACACCACACATTTACGCATCTGAGATGATTACAATCACTGTCCCATGACTAAACAAATACACACCACCACCCTAACCTCCTAAAACAGATGAACAAAGTTAACGGTTGTTAACATTGGGCCAGTTTTATTTATCGGACCGATACAGATATGTTAACAAATGACTAACATCGGCTGATATTAATGCCGAATTATCATGCATCCCTATTACATACATAAATAAAGCGCCATAAGGAGTAAAGAATTAAAAGTCAATAACCGATTTCCATTTCTGGAACAACCTGTTAAAATGTCCTTTTACAGAATAATTAATTTTCTTCATTTCAAGAAACCACATAACACTGTTGGATGGATGGTGGCTATTAAATACATTCAGGTGTTCTTCCTTCTACTCACAGCTGGACACCTCAGAGATCCAGAAGGTGGCCCAGACCACGGCCAGAGCCAGCACCGAGCTGTAGAAGTAGACCTCATACTTGGGAAGAGCAGCTTTGATCCCCATGCTGATGAACACAAACAGAACTCAGCTCATCAGCGCCACTTTAAAGAGTTTTACTGCTGTGTGGTTGTGCACAAGCTCTAACAACAGTCCTGCAGAAGAAGCTCTAGGTTTCATTCAATATTTCTGAACTGCATCTCAATTTTAAATCACGATAAACACATTCTTTTTCATCAATGAAGTCGTTGAGGTTGGTTCTAGTTGTAGAAACAATGGCGCATTGTCATATTTGTTAGGTTTTATTTTATTGGTTAAAATGATTTAACTATGGAGGAGAAAGCAGGCTCTTTATTATCTGCGACTGATGAGTGATTTTATCTGAATAATCCGATTTTCTTTTAATTAGACAAATCAAATGTAGTAAAATATTTCCTCCCGCTGCTGTTACAAGTTATTTCTAAAGGCCTGCACCATTTAAATGATTCACTGGCTTCAAACAAACTTAATAATCAAGAAGAACAGTGGAGGTCAGATGGTCTGATTATAATAAGAAGTCCAGCTGTCTGCTATTTTTAACTGAACAACTCTTCTCCAGTAACTAGACATTGCAGCAGCCTGTTCATAAAACACACAATTACCTTCTGCTGCTTTGTGGTGTAAAATAAACAATAATTAATATTTCTTCAGGCCAAAAGAAGCAAATGTGAAGTACAAACCAGTCTGACCTCACATTGATCGGATGACTTGCCTGCAGTTGAAATGTCACAGTCGTGCACTCAGGTTTGTCCTCAGCTCCTGTCTGATACTGACCTTGAGAGCAGCAGCTGTTCTTTCAGTTTAAAAAAAAACTTTATAAACAAAAATGAGAAACGCTGAACTTCGTGCATCCAGAGAGTTAAGAGTTGGACTGTGGGTCCCTCTGACTCCCAGAGAGGGAGCTGCTGCCAGTTAAAGATGACAGGATGAATTTATTCTAATGGGGCGGGGCTAGAAGGAAATTTTTAATGATCCTAACAAAATATCTTCATATGAGTCTAAGCGAGAGGAGCCAGTTGAGGTGGCTCAGGCATCTAGTGAGGATGCCTCCGGGCACATCCAACCAGAAGGAGACCCGATGGAAGACCATGGACACACAAAGTTTCTCAGTTAGCCGGGGAATGCCTTCGGATCCCCCTTTGGAGGAGCTGGCCAAAGTGGGTGGGCAGAGGGAAGTCTGGGCCTCCCTGCTTCCACTGCTGCCCCCGATAAGCGGCTGAAAATCAATGGATGTGAACATAAGTATTAATGACACTTCAGGAAAAGCTTTTATGGCTAATGACTTTTCCAAGCCCTCTGTATTGGTGAACACTTAAGTAACTATTTAACTCTGCTTGTACCACTTTGGATGCTTTGAATACCATAAAGACATGGCTTCTGTCAACCAGCTCCCTTTGAGTACAGTTGTCACCAGTTTAGGATGGAAGCTGCATTTAAATCAGTCTTTTGAAAAAATCTAGCATTTCTTAATCTTCATATTGCTAAGATTTAGCCGTTCGTATCTCTGTCTACTCAAAACGGTGATTCATACTTTAACGTCCACACTAGACTACAGTAACTCTGCTGGAATGAGCCAGGAGCCCATTACCAAACTACAGAGACAAGATTGTTTTCTGGTTCTAAGAGAACGTTTTACACTGGTGGTCAACCTACATTGGTTTCCTGTGTGGTATTGAGTTGTTTTCATTATTCATATACAAGTCCTTAAATGGTTATACTCCTCCATGCATTGCCAATCTGTTGCAGTCATCTTGAAAGGCTTGTTAGATTCCCATGGCCAAGTTAAAATCACAAGGTGGTCACCCCGCCGATGAGCGTCAGAGAAGCACCTTTCAGTAGGTGTTCAAGTCTAGGCTGAGGACCAGTTTCTATGTGGCCATCTTTAGTCATGTCTAAACATACAGAGCTACTTTTTTTGAAGAGTTGAATATATTTTATTCTTATTTTTTACTTTTAGACGTTTATTCTGTTTGAATGTTTTCCCGTGGCATTCAGCTCTTTGTTCAGAATGATGGATAGATGTTGGAACCATTTCGTAGAGGTCATCACATGCTGGTGTCTGCAGCTTCAACCGCAACAATGAAACCCACAGGTACTCACTCGGTGGTGCCCAGTAAGTGCTGGCTGCTTTTATTGGAACTGTTAAATATTCAGTGGGAGTTTCTCCTCCACCGACAACCTGATCAGATTTTTCTTCCTTTTAAAACACATTGAAACCATCACACACAGATGCAAAGTCCCGTGTGAGCTTCTCTGCAGCTCCGACATTTGATAAATTCACAACGTTTTAGTGATTAGAGTGGAGACCAGTACGAGGGCTCAGCCCACCACTGTGGCAGGAATTGTCCTTGCGGTGCATTTGCGTCAAATCTGACGTTTTCTGGAGCGACCTGCAGACGAGGTGAGCTTTACTCTTCAGTTGTGTCCTTTTTGCCGGTTTCCTGTCCTTCAAAGATGGGGTAGTTGCTCTCCACTTCTGCCCAGGTGAAAGTGCCATTGGCGAGGTCCCGAACAATCCCAGGCAGCTCGCTGACCTAAACCAGAGTTAGCAGGGCGTTAGGTTGTGGAATGAGATGCTTCACGTTAATGTTTAATGCAGGACTTCCTTCAATACATTACTTCTCATTGTTGGGGTCAGGATCCCACTATTAGCTTGGATCACCCCGATAAATCAAAAAACCATAATCGAGCAAAGCAAACAGCCACCAACAATTTTAAGTAGTATGATACAAGTGAGATGTTTCTCAAGTTGGTTTTAGCTTTTATAGAAATGTTTAGATTAGCTGGAACAAGACTGATGATCTGAAGATGCACCTCGGCTCTGATTTGCCTCATCGAGTCACGGTCCCTCAGAGTGGCCGTGTGAGGCGTCTTATTCACGGTGTCAAAGTCGACGGTGATGCCAAACGCCACTCCGATCTCATCTGTTCTGGCGTAGCGCCGCCCGATGGACCCGGAGGAGTCATCCACCTTGTGAGACACGCCGTTTTTGGTCATCGCATCGGCTGAGAGGGAGCCAAACATCAGGTTAAGCTGCTGCAACACGTCAACTCGTGGGACCGCATGAGGATACTTACATAATTCCCTCACGAAGGGCATGAACTCCTGATTTGGGCTGAGAGGTAGGACAGAACATTTGTATGGAGCTACGGTAGCAGGGAAGCTGAAATACTGTTTAAAAAACAAAAAACAAACCAGGAAACAATAATGAAACTTCTTGATTCAACACACAGCGAACCGGAACTCACCGTTCTTTGTTCGTCGCCTTCTCTGACGTGGAATGTGTGTTCAAAGATGGTGTACATGATCCTACCGATGCCAAACGAAGGTTCGATGACGTTGGGAACAACTTCCTCCACTGCAGGCGACAAAAACATGGAAGTTACCAAGCTTCTCCTCTGGATTAACCCTCCTCAGGAGTCCCTCTCACCATGCAGCATCTTCTGGAATCTCTTCACACTGACCATGTCCTTCGTCAGTCTGAAGGTCTTCCCTTGCGTCTCGATGGTGAACTCTCTGTGAAGCGGAGGTAAAACCCCGTTATAGAAACTGGAGCCAGCTCTAAAAACAACTCTGATTCATCTTAAACACACCCAGCTTCATTCAGCAGACTCTCCTGCTCCGCTACGAAACACTCGTCACACACCGACAGATACTCCATGGCTATCTTGGCGTCCTTCTTATAAGCCTTCCCAATGGCTCCTTTGTTGGGCTCAAACTGGATGACGTTTACGGTTTTGTGTGAAGAAGTTAAGGAAGAGTGCTGATACAACCGTCAAATCCTCCTAAATGTTGTGTTTTAAGGATATGGGTTCTTTCAGTGGCTTCTCAGCAACCAGGGGGACTTTGGTGGCTCTCGAGTGGCATTTCAGATCAAAACAAGACCGGTCAGCGCAGCCAACAATTTCAATCCAGCCCTGCGACAAATAAATGTCATTTCAGCGTGAGGACGACCAACAGACACGAGGAGAGTCGAGATAAACGTACGTAAGAGGTTTTGGCCTCGGCGTCCCAGCAGTCACAGGCGTAGTGAGCCATCTCGTTATCCATGTGCTGTCGGAAACGCAGCTTGTCTTTGGCAACGCCGACTCTAGTAAGGTAGAGGTAGATCCTCCCGATGAAATATCCCAGCACGGAGTTGTTGATCACTCCCTGGATTTAGAAAAAGAGATTTTCTGTTTAAAAGCAAAGCAGAAGATCCCGTTAGCATCCCAGTTGGATGGTTTTCTAGATACCTACTTGTTCCACAGCATCGCCCAGCCTCATAATGTGAGCTGACTGGCCGCTGGTCTGGGCTTTGGAGGAGTACAACATGATGTCCAGATCAGCTACGTTGGAGAATTTAGGATGGATTTTCTCATTTGGGTCCACAAAGTGCTCAATCTCGGCCATAGTGAACTCCCTGCAAGAAAAAGGGTTTGTTAAAGAGTTTTGGTTGTTTAACAAGCAGATGAGAGCCAGAGGATTAGCTCACCTGACTCTGATGAGACCAGAGCGAGGGGAGATTTCGTTCCTGAAGGAGTTTCCTATCTGAGCAGCAGCGAAGGGGAGTTTGCCCTGGTTGAACTCCAGGAGACGCTTAAAGTTGAGGAAGATTCCCTGAGCGGTTTCAGGCCTCAGATAGCTGCAAATTCAGACCAGAACCTGCGGTAAAAATCTGCACACGTCACTAAAGCTCCTCCGGTTTGAGCTGGATCATACCCGGGCATGTTTCCTCCCGGGCCGATGGACGTCTGGAACATCAGGTTGAAGGCGATGGGGGGAGAGAGCTCGTTTCCTGTAGTCGGCGACTTCACGTTGTATTTGACAAAGAGGTCCGTCAGCTCTTGTTGGGAGTAGTTATCCAACTGGAAAACGACGAAATATAATGAGAAGGGTGATGAAGAATCATATCGGTAGAGATTCTGAGTGAAGACCAACCTGAGTGATGACGTTCTCCATCTCTGACTTCCTGTCTGCGGCGCACTTCTTATCAGACATCAGCTTCTGGAGATGAGCTGCAGCAGAAACCACTCACCGTTATCCCGTTTGGTAAAAACTCTAAAGGACTGAACTGAAGGAATTTTTAGTCTAAATTCAAATCCTCCTTCCAAGATTTCTTCCTAATAAGTTAGTTCTTGTACTAAATTAGACGAATCTGGAATTTTTAAAAAGCTTTCTGAAGTTGTTAAGATCAAAATGTGAAACGTTTTTCGTTCCGATTGTTAATTAAATCATCTTTTGAAGCGACGCAACAGGAACTGACATGTCTCAACATCCAAACAGGCTTTTAGCGCGGGTGGAGTCTCTGTGATCCAGACTGATGTTTCTCATTCTCCCCGAGGCGCATCGCCACGACAGAGTCCCATGCAGATTTAAACCTTTCAAAAAAAAAAAAAGAAAGAGACAAATTCTCACCTTTGAGGAGGTGGTCGGCTCTGAAGCATTCACCGTTCTTCACGTCTTTCACCATGTAGTCTGCAAACTTCTCTACGTGTCCTGAAGTCCTGGAGGAGCCAAAGGTGCAACAATCAATCAGCATCAACGAGAGAACAAACAAGGTGATTCTTATGTCTTTAACAAGTGTATCTGCGACCGGGCTATGGAGCGCTGCTATAGAGGCAGCTTCCATGCATAAAATCACAGAAATCAATGTTTGCCTGTTATTAAAAACCTAAAGTTCAGCACTTCAGAGCCGACTCCAGGAACCACCAGGCACTTCCTCCAGCCGTAATGTGGCCTAGCATTCCACAAAAGAATGCCAATTCTCTTTAATTTCCATGTGAGTAATAACTATTCCAACTAAACCACTTTTCTTTAACCAGTCGCCTACTTGAGGACGGATTCAGGGGTCAGCATGGTGCAGTCGATCTCCAGGATTTGCTCCTCCTGGATGAAGTGCTGCCTCCAAGCCTGCAGGATGTTGTTCTTCAGGGCACAGCCAACAGGACCAAAGTCGTACAGGCCACTCACACCTGAGGAGAGTTAATGAATGCATCAGGTGTCAGTTTAATCTCGATTTCTATTATTAGCCACCAGAGCATTACCTCCATAGATAGCAAAGGCCTGGTCATAGAAGAACCGCCTCTTGAGGGTATCCTCCATCTTGGGTCTGTCAACAATGTCATCTTTGGGTTGCAATGCCAGTTCCTGCAAATTGTGCAACACAGAGGTAAAATTATATATGACTGTCCCAAGAATACTAGCCAGGAGGCTGCAGACTCTCAGCTTCACCACTACTTAAGTTGATTTGTTTTGATGTGTGCAACCAATGACAAGCTCTTTAAATACTAATATACATGTCAGTTTGTGATATTACCATTTGATCAGTGCCAAATTTGTGTCATCTCTGCATGGATGAACGTGTGGGACTGGCATCCCTCTCAGATGAAATCATAACAAATGAAACTATGAATTTCTTACCTTGGCTTCTAGAGCTTTCTTCCTTGCTTTCAGTTCAGCTACAGCTTTAGTCACATCCACTTCAGGAGCTCCTTCCTGTTTCATTTGGCGCACCAGCTCTCCCTAAACCAGAAGAAAACATTGCAAACCACTGCGCCAAAAATAACTGAGCCAACGCCTGGACGTGTTTGGGAAGCAAAAAGATTGATGATTGTTTTTGGTAGCAGCACAAAATAAACCTCCTTTAAAAAAAAATAAAAAACAACCCCACCCTGCTATCATCAGCCTGCAGAGCAGCTCTGAAACGTGGCACATGAATATCACCTAGCGGTTAGCTCCTGTAGCGACTCCAGTCTGCTCTCATTCATTGACAGGCTGGGGTTAGCCGGCTAGGCTAGCCGGTTAGCTTAACCACTTCAGACCGTTTCTCACTTAAGTTACCTCACTACTTTTAAAAAAATATACTAGTTTTAAAGTGGCAGAAAGCAAATATTACCTGTTCTTTCACAGCAAGCCTCAAAGGGGCGAGAATCTCCTCAATGTTTCCGTCCATGGTCTTTTCTTCCGCAAGCTGCAGCCACAGGCTCTTTTTCTTTTTCTTAAGCAGGCAGACCGAGGTGGAAAAGGGCCTTCTACCGAGCGGCTGGCGATGGGACAGCCGACACAAACGGACCGTTACCGGCCGACAGGAGAAGGAAATCTCAGCGCTGGTCCTCAGCAGTGATAACGCTGCGCTGCGGAGAAGCATGGACCGCTGTAACGCGACCTCCAGAGAATGATGAAATCTCACGAAACAAGTAAATACTGCCGTCGTTCCGGCTCAGCACTTTCGTTACGTCTCACGCGTTCTTCACGTGTAATTGGCTGATTGCTAAAAATAAAATTAAAATAAATAAAAATTAAATAAATGTTTTTGGAGACTTTACTCAATGCAGGGATTCTTAAAAGACGAAATATTTTCTTTTAAAGAGAAAATTTAATCACCTATGAAAAAAGTCTCAAAAAATCACCAACTCTCTTTTGAACTCAAATATGAAATAAATAATTCAAATGTTCCACATAAATGCCAAATTCTTGATATTGTTGAATAAATTTCAAAATAATTCACCAAAATTTCAACTGTAAAAATGTGACCTTTCAAAAGTTTTATTTTTCCCCCACAAGAGGGCACTAGAAATGCCCCAAAGTAAATTATACATTTACTTTATGCAAAAAGTGAGTCAAAGGGCATTTTCTTCCCCTTTAATTTGAAGCTGGGAAACAGAGAACTAGTCACTTTTTAAAATATAACAAACAATAAATTGTATGGTACAGTTCGTTGTATTGGCTGGCTTCATGATAAAACCACTGGTCCCTCCAACCACCACCACCAAGTGTCTTGCCCAAGGACACAACAGCAGCTGTCTGAATCAATCATACACCCTTCTAGTTGCTGGACAACTGCTGACAACCATGCATGGTCTCACAGCTTGCAGAAGAAGATTCAGCATGCAGAGATTTTTTAAATCCCGGTTATAGTCATGCCTTCATGAAACATTTAATCCGATGGATGCACAACAGACCTACTTGAGATACATACAGATGAGATACATCATCTGTGTCCTATCAGACCTGACATCCAGACCATATTCATTTTAAATATTCATGAATGGAGATGTGCAGCTGTAGGGCATCACAGCTCAGAGATTCCCACAGATTCAGAGAGATGTCAACTGCGTTTGAACTCCATGATCAAAGAAATATAGCTTCAAGGGCTGCCATCTTTAAAAAAAAGTCTTGGAGTGAGATTTTCTTTCATTTTACTTTGTGTGTGTGTGTGTGTGTGTGTGTGTGTGTGTGTGTGTGTGTGTGTGTGTGTGTGTGTGTGTGTGTGTGTGTGTGTGTGTGTGTGTGTGTGTGTGTGACTGTTAGGTTTGGCAAAATGACACACTAGTCTGGCAGTGAGAAAAAACAATGTGATATTAAGGCAGAATTAATTTTTCAGAGGAAAAATGGATGCTGCAATCACTGTTTGCTACAATGTAAATTAAATTATGGGCAAAGCAAATAAAAGAAAATGATAAAATGTGGAAAAAAAGCTATACATTTTCATGTGCTTAAATTGTAAATGTATTTTCACAGGAGAAGAGTCACGTAACATTGTCTTTTACAATAGTACTGTTGGCCAATCCTCACAGGAAATATATTCTGCTAATATTCTTTTCTGTCACTGAACACATTTGCTGTATTTGTTTTTTCTTTGTAGAGTTTATACATTTGTTGTGAAATATGAACGCATCAATGCTGTCCATCAGTCAAATCAAATGGCAGATTAAATATGTAGACAACGATCCATCGTAGTCTTTTTAATTACAAATTTTAAATTACGTGACAGATATAGTGGAAACACACGATTATTTTTTATTAAATTGGAGTACAACATGTGTGATAAATCTTTGTTGGTTTTAAATTTCCTTCCTGTTTTACCTGGTTTCAAATTAGCAGTAATTTAGTTTAGCCACTTGAGGGCGCTAGAAACAAAGTTTTGGCGAAGCATCTACATAGAGTTTGCAGTTTATAGATTTTTTATTTCTTTCACTTTTTTTCTTTTGTTAAATGTCACACCTAAATGTTTCATATCAAATAAAAATGTAATATCAGATATAATATTATAAATGTTGTTTAAAAATCTGAATTTGATTTATTAAGATGGAAAAGAGCTTTCTAAACTAACTTGGTTTTGTGTAGAAAGGCAACCCCCCCCCCCCCCCCCCCCCCACGTTAAATCAATAATTGACTGAGACTAATCTAATAATTTCAATGTTTGTAAACTGAGTATATTTTCAATAGATACACCCAGACCAGATTATTGACAGACCTGCAGAACTAATAGATCTCTTCAATAGAACCTGCATGACAACATGAAGTGGGCTAAATGATCTCAAAAAGCAACAAATGTTATATATAAAAAATATTCCCATCCCACCCTCCGTGGGTGGTTTCATCCTTCCGAGCTCGGGTCCTGCAGAGGCCTAGGAGCTTGAGGGTTCCGCGCAGAATCTTAACTGCACTTTTCTGGACTGAGATGTCTGATGTTTTTCCCGGGATCTGTTTTAGCCACTCCTCCAGTCTGGGGGTTACTCCCCTGAGTGTCCCGATGACCACGGGCACCACCGATGTCTTCAATCTCCAGGCTTTCTCAAGTTCTTCTTTGAGCCTCTGCTACTTCTCTATTTGTCATGTTTCTTTTTCCTGATGTTGCCATCACATACAAATACACACACTGACAAAATCAGACAACTACTTTTTTAAAGCACTGTTAATCTCAGCATTGATAACACAAATTATAATTTAATCTGTAACCATAAAGCCATTATTAAATCATGAATGCTTGTAATTTTCTTGCAAACTCAAATCGGGTTTCAGGTCATCAGATTTCAGGTCTGGACAGCCTCAGTAACCTGAAGCGGACTCTCTGGTGCTGAGAAGAGATTGTGATAGAGCAAAGCGACTGTAAAACCCGAGTCGCTGGAGTGACGACGCTGACCCACATTAAGAGCATCATGTCGACAAAGAGATTACATATTAATTATGAGCAGCATCAGCAGATGACAGCCTGCTGTTTTCCTTCTGTCCGTGCTTTCAGACTCTCGTCTCTCAGGTGGGGCCATCGGGGTGGGACCCTTCAGGTCTCTGTGGTCCAAAGCTCCATTAAGGGGACAGGGAATGACGCTCAGCTGCGTCACTGCTGGCAGTGGACCAGAAAACCACTTTATCTCCCCTGTTGTTATTCTACGGTCCATTGAGACTGAAGCTGCATGAATGTTTCATGGTGCACGTGCATGTGCAAGGTAAAGGTCTCTGGAGCACAGATGGATTTTAGATCAAAAGGCTGAGTGAATGCAAAGTAAACAATTTAATTCTGCTTCTGGAAAAAGTTAAATAAGGTGAGGAAAGCAGTGGTTTTGCAGGGAACTGGGCTTGTGCATTTGATTGAAAAGCTGCAAAAACAACAGCAAAGCAGAGCAATCCTACAGACCAAAAACATGGACTTTTGCTTGAAGTTTCAATGTCCCTTTGATGGACTGGAGACTTGTCCATGGTGTCCCCTGTCTCTCACCCTAAACGACTGCAGGAGCTCCACACAAGCTCTCAATGACCCAGTGAGGAACTAGTATAGAAGATGAGTGAGTTTGTTTATTCAGTAATCACACAAGCATGGCACAACTCATAAAATGGCAACATCAACGACAAAACAAGTTCGCGTGAGGTGAGGAACATGATTTCTACTTTTATCTGGAAAATTTCTTTGGACTTTTCTCCACATTTAGACTTTTTTTCTCTTATTTTGACTTTTTCCCCATTTCTGCTTTTTTATTTATATATTTCAAAAGAAAAAAAGACAGAATAACAACAAAGGAGAAACATGGAAGCCCACTCCCGCCACTCTGATTAAATGTTGTTTTTTTCATTATTAAATCATGTCTCATAATTTGTGTGACTTCCTTCTTCCTCACTAGCTTACTTTCTTGAGATCCTGTATTACCTTTTCCTTCATTGTTGTCCCCCTCATTTTTCCTTTTAATTTTTTAATATTTTCCAAATTTTTATGATATTTCTAAATAATTTTTAAAATATTTTTAATTTAAAAAAGTTTGTTCTTGTGAAGTGCCTTGCGATTTCTTCTCTTGAGAGGCGCTATATAAAATCTAGTTTATTCTTCATAATTATGAAATGAGTTATAATTATACATACATACACACACACACACACACACATATATATATATATATATATATATATAACTCATTTCATAATTATGAAATATATATATGTTATTATTATTTAATCATAGCGAGAATGGGCTTCTATAAATGGCAAAACAAAAAGAAGAAAAAACACAATTTGTATAGAAATCGTAAGCAAATTACTCAAGATTTTAAGTTCGGAGGACATTTCATTCTTTCCTCACACAAGTATAATTTTATTATTTTTGAGTGCATGAAGAATCAAAACTTTTTCTCGTCTGTATTTTTGTCTTAAACCAGTCACCACTTTGTTTTTATTCTAAGAGATATTTTTTATTCTAAGAGATCATTTCCGGTCATAAACAGGTTTTCTCCATTAAGAGCTTTTTTCCTGGTGCTGGAAGCTGAAGCCTCTTCCCTGAGATTTCAGAGCCAGGATATGAAACCAGAGAGGTGGGCGGACTAAAGAGCTTGTTTTTCAGCTCGGACGGAGAAGCAGAAAAGGAGCGCTCCTGACCTGTTGTTGTAGTGCGCCTGCGAGCCTGTGGGGCTGGAGGACGGTCGCCATCTCTGGGTAAACACTGTAACCATATCGCACACTTGATAGTGTAGTGTGTGTGTGAGAGTGAGTGTGTATGTGAAGCGTACAGTAGCAGCAGATGGGAGGAGGAGGAGTGCTGTTGCAGCAGTCTCAGCAGGACCGACGTTTTTGTTCGCCTCCCGTGCCACCGTCGCTTCCCCCTCACTCGCGTCTCTGAGCTCCGGTGTGTCCGGACCGGACCGGACTGAGCGGTTCCAGTTAAAATGGGATTTTAATGCAGCCCGCGCGCTGCCCGGATGGGGGGGACCGTGATGTTCGCCAGGGAATAAAACGGTGCAGCCGATCGGTGCGCAACATCTCGTTTCCATGGACATCACGTCCATAATAACACAGGTTGCAAATCCGAAAGAGGAGGAGAGCATCTCATCAGGTCAGGATAAAGGTAAGGTGTGCAGGAATTACATTTATTTATTTTAGTTTATGTTATTTCTGATCTTCGGTGCCAATCTGTGCAAATCTGCAGAACATGGGCTGCTACAGCTGAGCAGGATGGACCTCCATTGTTGAGCTGAAGCACAGCAACATCACACATTAGTGGTCACATCTTTACCAGCCTGTTTTATCAAGGATCCTTCAAAATAAAATAGTCACTGACTTGGATCTATTTCCAAGAGTAAACAAGGTTTACTACAGGGGGCGGGCACTCTTCATATCCCTGGCTGTCAAATACATTCTTGTTTTTACCTCACTGAACACCTAAGCTTCATAAAATACAAATTAAATCTAATAATAAACCATCAAAATAAAATAGAGTATCTGAGAGAGTAGACAGCTGCAGAGCCAGAAAACAACAGATCAACAGCTGCTGCACAGATTAAAGATTTCTCTGTTATTTTTTAAATGTGAGTCTCCACTCCGCCATGTGGTGATGACATCGATGCGAAATCCCCCCACTCCATGCTCACGAGTCAGGAGATTCCATCAACCATCAGAGGGCTTCTCGTGAACGGATTTTCCACATTGTTTTGCATCACGACATTTACTGAACACTTAATTAAATTTACTCGCCCCCCAGTAACACCTATCATCCCAGTCAGCCCACAGGGTGCTGGGAAGCCAGAGGGACCATAGCTTCCTGCTACACCCAGTGCTCCTGTTTGGAGAAAAGGTCACCTTTCTGCTTCAGCCACCTCAGAACTGACATCAGTACATGGCCCACTCTGACTCATTACACATCCCCAACTCGCACTCGTGGAGTCCATCCAGACTTGTTTGCATCAATAGGCTCAATTAAAACTGAATATTTAGCAAAAAATTATTTCTCAACCAGCTGAGATTTTTAGCGCCTTACATTCTGAATACCTTCACCGTGCTCCTGTTGGTTTTAAAATAAACATTATAGCCATTTTTAAGCTTTTTTAATGTAAAATGTGTAGTTAATGCTAAGCTTCCAGAAAAGCGTCTCTTCAGAGTTCACACCTTTCATCATCATTGATAAGCTAACGGCTAGTTACAGCATGACCAAACTGTATTGCTGCCATATTAAATTGGCTCAAATGAAAAAAATCGTACACATTTGTGCAAAGCCATTTTATAAACCTTTGCTATTTGGGCAGGAACATTAAAGCAGAGGTTCGTTGAGAAACGTGTAACGCCTCTTGAAATACGATTGGCCACGCCGAGTTTTACATGCATGCTGAACGTGAAAAGAGTCTTTTACTCCTATTTCCTGCTTTAGAGGTTGAAAAAAATGACATGGAAAAAGCTCGGCTCAAAAAAAGCCAGACAGTAAAATTTGCATTCATGGGCTCACCCACCGTGGCCCTTGAACTCAAGGCTGTGTTCATTTAGCAGGGAGAACCGAGCTTTTCTTGGCTAGTAAATGCTAACCATTAGCAATGGCAACTGCATGGCAGAACACATACCTGCTTGGGTTATTTATGGGAATTAAACATCAATTCTGCATTTTTTTATTAGAAGGAAGAGCGAACAGAAGCAGCAGAAGAGTCGTGTTGTTAGCCAGTCATATGTCTAATTTTTTATTCTCCCTGTGTTTTATTGATTTTTAGCTGTTAGTTTTGGGAATTTTGTTGTATTTCCTTTTTATCTTTTATCTGTGTTCGACATGATTGTACAACGCCGGTTTAATTAACTAACATTTTTAGTGTACAGCGCCTTGTTTGGTTGTAATTCCTTGTTGAATGCGCTTTATAAATAAAATTGGATTGGACTGGATTGGATATGTCTGCATATCATAAATATTAATGAGTGGGACTAACTTCTTTTTCCTGAAACAGGACCACCAGAGCTTATATTTATATCACAGAAAGCAACTCCAAATGCATTCATTCATACTAGAAACCAAAGCAAATTCATTGAAATATTGAGCGTATGCCCTCGTTTAGAAATTCCTGTCAGATGTGAATTCTAAAGGGACATGAAGTGCTACAATATTCTGTTGCTTGTGATATTTATTCTTGTGTACAACCATGTTATGCAAAACTGTTATTTGTTTTTTTAAAATAGCAAGGTCCTTTATGAAAATTGGCAGATTTGCTGTGTTTTAAGATGCTTTAGTTTTGGCTAACCTTGGGCTGCTTGTCAGTCCAATCAGACGCAAACTCTATTTCTCTAAACACAGGCCATTCAGAAATCTAAACACAATATCATGAAATAGCTAAAAAAAAAAACAACCTTTCATCACTGACGGTCTCTACTAAGATGCAACAGACTTCACCCTGAAGATAAAAACAGCAAATACACTTTTGCTGTTGTTGAGCTTTTTCCTTCTTTTTCTGCACATGACAATCTCTTGTCCAAAATTCCCACACTTACTTATTTATTTATTTATTTTTTGCTCAACACTCTGCTTATCTCAAACGTAGAATCCCAGATGGCATGCAGTCTCTGATAAATAATCCGGCAGGATAAAATCCCGGATCGGCCTCTGACCAGAGATGACACGGCAGCCGCCGTCACACTGTCACAAACACAATTCTACAGATGCATCAACCTTAAAATCGTGTTTACGGTGAAGTCCCCGTGTAACGGCATCCTGTCAGGTTATGGTCCTCATCATAGAGTAAACATTCCACCCACCACACACACACACACACACACACACACACACACACACACACACACACACACACACACACACACACACACACACACAGTCATATTTTGAATACTCAGAGTAAATCCAGGCTATTTTTGTACCCTTATTAATTTGTCTTAGCATAGCTGCAAAGTGTCGTCGTCATCTTCCTCCGCTTATCCGGGTCCAGGTCGCGGGGGCAGCATCCCAACTAGGGAGCTCCAGACCGTCCTCTCCCCGGCCTTCTCCACTAGCTCCTCCGGCAGGACCCCAAGGCGCTCCCGGACCAGATTGGAGATGTAACCTCTCCAAAGTGTCCTGGGTCGACCCGGGAGCCTCCTGCCGGCAGGACATGCCCGAAACACCTCCCCAGGGAGGCGTCCAGGAGGCATCCTGACCAGATGCCCAAACCACCTCAACTGGCTCCTTTCGATCCGGAGGAGCAGCGGCTCGACTCCGAGTCTCTCCCGAACGTCCGAGTTCCTCATCCTATCTCTAAGGCTGAGCCCGGCCACCCTACGGAGGAAACTCATTTCGGCCGCTTGTATCCGCGATCTCGTTCTTTCGGTCATTACCCAAATCTCATGACCATAGGTGAGGACTGGGACGTAGATCGACCGGTAAATCGAGAACCTGGCTTTCTGGCTCAGCTCCCTCTTCACCACGACAGATCGGCTCAGCGTCCGCATCACTGCAGACGCCGAACCAATCCGCCTGTCGATCTCCCGATCCCTCCTACCCTCACTCGTGAACAAGACCCCGAGATACTTAAACTCCTCCATTTGAGGTAGGACCTTTCTCCCGACCCGGAGTTGGCAAGCCACCCTTTTCCGGTCGAGAACCATGGTCTCAGATTTGGAGGTCCCACCCTGGAGCCAGGCCTGGGGTTGGGGCCCGTGAGCGAGCGCCTGGTGGCCGGGCTTTCGCCCATGGGGCCCGGCCGGGCCCAGCCCGAACCATCCAACCGTGGACCCACCACCCACAGGAGGAACATGAAGGGTCAGATGCAGTGTGGATCGGGTGGCAGACCGAGGCGGGAGCCTTGGCGGTCCGATCCCCGGACAAGGAAACTGGTTTTTGGGACATGGCTGCAAAGTGTCTTTAAAACAAACTATTCTTTGTTTAATATTATTAAAATAGATGTATAATAATTAGTTTGTGTACTTTGATAGCAATATAACAGTAATAAAAAATATATATATAATAGGCCCTCACCTCCTGTAGATCCTCCACCAGGGGGCAGTAGACGTGTATAAGAGAGTATACGTAAGGGTTCTGAAGAAGTTACTAATCCTGATCATCCATCTTGATGCTTTAAGACCTGAAATGATTTGTTGCTAATTTGCAACAGCAGACCACACAGAGTTAACGATTTGGTGAAGAAAAAAGTTTTTTCATAATGAACCAAGTTCAAGAGACATTGCCCGTAGTTAGTATTAGCCTTTTATAATTAGTTTGCTGTTAAAACAGGCTCCTCCTTTAGCTCCCTCAAACTAGCGTAGGCTGCACCAAAGTTTACTCCGGTTTTAGCTCTTTGCTTTGCCTCCAAAGACATCACTCTTACTTTTACTTCCAGGCTCCGCTACGATGTCAACAGGAAAAGCTCATTCCTTCTTATTCTTGTGCTTTTTATTGATGATCAGCCAAGTGAAAAAGCTAATTGGTAGCATAACAGTTAATAGATGTACTTCAGGTAAAAAGCGCCCCCTGTAGAGCACGTGCCTGCTGTTGCGATTCCACCCCTATAACTGAGCTCTGTCTAAAGGTCGTGGCCCGACTACATATTGGATGGCTTGCCAGGATAATAATATGAGACTATGCGGTGTAAAAAGTCCCATCTTCATCATCCTGACACATAGTTTTCTTTTAAGCGTTTTTACAATAAGAGCCCTGGGAAAATGCATTGACCTAGCTAAAAAAAAACAAACAATTCTCATAATATTTTAAAGAAACTAAAATAACAGCCAACTCCCTTTTGGCTGACAACAGGGAACTAAATGCTGGAGGTGTCGTGTTTTCATCCTGCTGACTATAATCAGAACATGTGGTCGTTTTTAATGCAGAAGGTGCTGAACTGAACTGGAAAAAGACACACCGATATCGTCCTCGACATATCGTCCACAGTTCCCCACAATCATCGTCAATGTCAACGTTTTACTTCCGGAATCATATCGGTCAATTTGATCAGAAAGTAGAAAAATATATTTTATTATAGGTTATTTTAGGTAAACTGAATTTGGACCAATTCTGTGTGGGCAGGTCAGACTTCCTGTGCATTTTTTAAAACACCTTGTTTTTATTATGACTGTTCATACCCTGTCAGTTCTTTCTGCACGCAGGGTATT